CACATGTATTTGTTGTTTAAACCTAGATTTCGTAACAGAGAATATCCTGTTTTCCTAATGTCAACATTCATTTTATGAGATATAGTTTCATTTGAGAGTATAGATAATTGTATTGATATATAAAATTCTTCACATTAACAACTCTTTTAAATTAAAATACAAAAATCATTATTCGGAACTTAAGATTTCAAAAAACTAAAGGAGCGGATTGAAAGATTCTCTATCGTGTGTTAGTAGAGAATTTTATAACCAGCATATTTGATTATTTCTTCAGCAGTTCTTTTCCAATTTATTGAGAGTATCGTCTTATTTCTATTCATAATTCATAATTCATAATTCATTTATAATTCAATTTATTTTTTCTTAATTTTTTGTTAATATCCTTATCACTGGCGGACCATGGATTTAATTTTATTTTTTTTTTGGAGGGGGGGGGGGGCTTCTGCCCGAAAGCGTTTTTTTTCATATAAATAACGATAATTACTTTGGAAAAAAATAAGAAAGAAACTACCTACAGGAAATGGTGTTTAAGTGATTCTTGAAGTCCTGTTAAATGTAATTACATAAACAATAATACTTTAAGAGATCATTTTTTACCATAACTATGGTTACGTTTTACCATTTTTTTGGGGAAGGGAGGGGAGGACTTCAGCCCGAAAGCCCCTTGCAACTCTGTATACGAAAGAATTTGTAACTCTGAGAAAAGTTTAAATGATTAGCGAAAAAGTAGATAAAACAAAAACAAATGTATATACTTTGTGTATAAAGAGATGGCTGAACACTAATATTTTATACAATAATAATAAATAAAAAACATTAGTTTCTTTAAAAGAAATTAAAATACTTTTTCCTTTTCCAAAGGACTGGAAACTTGATCGGGAATCTTGTGAATGCAATAACGGGCCAGGAACACGTTTGTTTAGTCTGGCCGAATGCAGTTCTGCCCGCAAAGCTACGCATAAAATGACAAACAAACAACGACACCTGGAGCGATAAATTTAGTCCCCGTATCGAGGGGAGAGGGTCTGGAAATGCCAAGGCTGGGTCCCAGCTCCATAAAAGGGTACATCTTCAGGTCTCCAGTCGTGTACTCCACATCGGCGGGAGGGGAGGGGGGAGGAAGGGGGGAGGAGAGAGGGTGTCCTGGCGATATTACGTTCTTCAGGAATAGTGGTCACGTTCTAAGAACTAGGTTGTAAAGCGAATGTTTTTACATCTAATAGAATGGCGGCGGGGTGGCCGAATGAGCAGACGCGTGTGCGTAGCACCGTTGCCCGGCAACAAGATAACCGAAGTTATGAGATTGAAAAAAAAAAGTAAAAGTTTGTCGAAAATCCCGTATTGCTTAAAAGGCGAGATATAGCAAAAGAAAAAAAAATGTAAGACAAACTATTAGTTATGTAATGTGAAATCTAAGTATAATTGAGGTTACATGTATTAACCCAAGAATTATTCTTGATTGAATTGTATTAGGAAGAAAAACGTTTATATATAATATAAAATATAATATTCATATAAATCTAACAACACATAGACAATCGAAAATTCCGTCCATCGAGGTCTGTGAGATATTTCTACAAAATATGTTCCATTTCATATCCTGAGCATTAAAATTTTACATTATTAATAATAATATTTTTAAATTATTTCTCAGTTATCCAAACTACAAAAATAAAGTGTTTTTTAATTTTTTTTTTATATACTAACATTAAAAGTCAGCAAAACTAGACCAACAATCAATAATGATAAGTAGTAAATACATAACTAGATAAAGTACATATAACAAAACAATTGTTGTATTAATTTTATCATAAACCGAATGAAAGTGTGGGATGTGAGTAAGGCACTGGGTTCCAATGCTGTGGTTTCAGGAATCTTGGGTATAACATGTAATTATTTATTCTCTTACACCGATCGACCCAGGGGTAGGGAAACCCTACTGGGGCATTACTTCACCCTCTGTAAAAAGAGTATCCTTAATTAAATAATTAAAACAGATCTCTGTCAAATCGCTTCCTTGCTCAAATGTTTACTAAAACCACAGTACTTGCTTGCAAAGTTCTTCATCCAAGACCCTCGAAGGATTATAATGGTACAGGTTTAACACAATACTTTTAATGATTCTTTTTTAGCACAAATATATTTTGATAGAACTTCTTGGAATATATGGTTGGTTGGAGACTTACCTGATTGCTCCACAACAATTTATTAATTCTGTATTCCTACTAACAATGAGAGATGTTCAATAATTTCAGATGTAACACTTCTGCAATAATATAATTAAAACATATGAAAACGATTCATAATTAGATAGTTGTCAAATGATAGTATCTGATAAGGGAGGATTCAAGAAACTTTCCTGTTTGCTGGAATACAATATAGTCTCGGTGCTTTTATTTAATGCGTTCAAAAATTCAGACCACTATACTCAATTATTTTTTTTATTTATATTTTTTTTTAATAATATGAGAACTGTGGCATTGTCTCTTAATTTACACAGCTTGAGGCTCTTCTACACCAAAATAATGCACTGTAATAAATAAAATAATAATTCAGAATCTATACATATTAAATTTTTATTCTGTGCCATACATCAGTGGTGTCCAGAATGGGGTATTTCAGAGCCAGAAGGGGGTATGGGGTATTCGTAAAATGGGGTATTTGAGGGGAGCATTAACAAGGTTATTAATTTTCGGAATAATATGTTTTAAATCTGGGGACAAGCCAAAAACTTGGAACAGACCTCAGCAACTGTAATTTTATATGATATACGACTTTAATAGCGTTGTTTTTAAGAAAAGATGAGCAATAAAATATCTTGGGAGGGAGGGAGGAGAGTTACACGCCATCGACATGGGGGAGGGCCTGATTTTTTTTTTTTTTTTTTCTGACTCCCCAGAAACTTTATTTAACACTACTTACAACATACATCTATGAATGTATATATACATTATTCCTTGACCTTTGCTTACCCAAGGGTATTTTAAGGTAAATGACAGTTTATGCCGTAAGCATAGGATACTTTCTGTGGCCTTGGGGGAGGGCCTGATTTAAATGGCAGCACCATATAAAAACCATTTTTTTTATTCACTTCGTATTTCATGGCTTAAAGGCATACTACATGAAAATAGTGTAATATCCCATTGTTACAATCATTCGTATTGCCTAATCGGCAGGGACGAGGAGGAATAAAATAAAACAATAAATTACATGAAATTAATAGATTCTTAAATGTTTCCAATATATGTTACAAAATTAGAAAAAAAAATTAACATATAAAATTAACCGATATATAAAAATATATTGTTCACCGGCCTATTGGTTTATATAATCTGAATAACATATTTCTGGTTATGGACGCGGCGATATCCAGTGCCCCTTCCTTTGATCCTTTGCTGACACAACCAGCGAGTGCACGGTCTTTTATGAGACCGGGATGAATATTGCATTATCCTTTATACAGCTTAACGCCGATTATCTGACAGAGGAGCTCCCTGCACCGACAAGACAACAAAGGGCTATAAAATTATTTTACGGTGCAATCGTTCAGGCTTTCAATTATTGTTTTATTGCTTACCTCTTCTTGAATCATTAATGCTGATATGAAGGTTGATCATGGATCAGGCGCGGGGTAATAAAATATCATTCGGGGAGTGGTCAAATAAATGTTTTTTTATTTGAACTACATTTCGACCACGAATATAAGCGTTCAACAGGGCTCAGGAATAGGGTAAAATTAAGAAATAAATCATTACTGGAATTAGCTAATTCGTGAATGAGTAAATAAAAAAGAACATGATATATTTTCTCAGTGTGCCAGTCGCCTGAATCAGCCTTCCCAACTGTACCTATCTTTTTTTTCCCCCCCTCTTCCTTACCTTTTAAGCTATACAGGGTTTTTCTCGGGCCAGGGGTCAGGGCTTGGGATTAATGCCAGAGTTAAAAGACCCCTTGGAGTCGGGATGTGTGTTGCTCTAACAGATTATTATTTTAGAAACATTTATAAAAAATTAGAGCTCTTTAGGATCTCTATTTTTTTTGTGTGTGTGATATTTACAACTGCATTGGTAAAAAAAAAAACATCAAGTATACAGAAGAATATAATCATATCAAAAAGCTTGTTGAGAAAATACTCATTGGTAGTACTCTAATAATATGTCTAAATGAGCAGATCACGAGGCCATATTCTTTTCATACGCCTAGGAAGGTTATGAAGTTTATTATGGAAGGATAGGTATATGTATTGGGCCAAATCGTAAACATATGGAGCATGAAGGTCCTTACGGACTATCTTATGTTTGATAAAGTAAGGAGCAGGATTTTTGATTATAAGGATTGGATACGAGAGGAATTTGATGGTTTAGTGGAGCCCCATAGCTCAATCCAATAGGTCTTATTATAGTCATGTATATGAGTCTTTTGTAATTAATTGTAAGTTTAGAGCGTTTGTGCAGTAAGTGTTGGAGTAAAACGTCGAGCAGTTTCTTTTCGTTTCAATCTTGTATGAGGATTCCAAGTCATTGGTTTACGAAGAAAGGTAAAGATGATTTGATGGGATTTATTGGAATTTATTTTAATCCTCCAGTTATGACATCATTCTTCAAGGTTTGTGACGTATGATTGAAGAGTTTGGGATGCAATTAATGGATAATTATTAACTGACAGGATACATGAGTCATCAGCATACGTAATGATGACAGTGTTAGGATGGAATGGGTTTTAAGATTTTTTAAGATTTTAAGACGAGAAAAAGACCTAGTTACAAAATAAAATAAAAATATAAAAATAAATGTTGTAGGCTAAAAAAATTAAATTTCTAATAAAATTAAAATTATAGCATGATTATAATAACAAATGTTATTATAAAATTTATAAAAAAAAAAGTTGAAGAATTAAAACAGTTTAAAACTGGACAAGAAATATTCAGATGGAGGTTGGGAAGTGCATGGCCCAAAGTGAAAGAGAGCACTGGAAGATAAAATGAATAAGCTAGCGATTACTTAGGCGTGCTACCATTAGTGGCGTTCGGCATGGACAGATCCTGGGCACAGGACGGCTAAAAGCTTTCTTATCTTCTCTAAGGACGAAGTGTCCTGCCGAAGAGCGAAGGTACACGGGGCAAAGAATAGCTCGTGAGATGGCCGGAGGATAAGAAGGAGCAACAGTCAGGGAGAAAGTGAGCATTGTAGGTGGCAACAGGTGGGAACCGATCAACCGTCTGCTATTGCCAACATCAATTGATTTAAATCACTCATAGAGATAATATATATCATTTATATATTATAACCCACTACATACGGATGAAATACAGCTAATAATAAAAAAAAATGGAACCTGTACAACATATGAAGGTTCTTGGATTCTGTAATAATATAATGTCTATCTTTTTATTTCTCCTTCGCTTCCTCATCTTTTAGGCTATACGGGGTAATTTTTTTAATTTAATTTTTTTTTGGTTATCGCAAACAGAGCCTATAGGAAACATATATTAAAAGAAAATCTGGCCACGCATAAGTGTCGGCTTTGCTCTAAGACGCATGAATCTACCCAACATATTACCAATGGCTGCAATAATCTGACAGGAACGGAATACCTCATCAGGCATGATAATGTCGCAAAAATATAACATCAAAGTATAAGTAGAAAATTCAGATAATATTTTCCAAACAATTTCAATAATATGAATAAAGTTTTCCAACAATTCCATTATTAAAAAGATACCCATTAATATAGATACCTATTGTTGGAGTAACACAAAACTTCTAAAAATGAATATATTTTTCGTATAATTTAGAAATAAAATAAAAACTAGATAAATATTAATACAATAAGAAAAGAATCCAAATGATAGCGAGCGCAAACTATAGACCACGGCAAGGCAAAAGGGGACCCTGGAGAAAGACGTGATGTCACTGCAATAATATTTGGGGAGTAAGGAGGAGAACATAAAATTTCCCAATAATTTTTAAACTATGAATAAAGTTTTTCATGGAATTATAATAATATTTTATCATGGAAAATATAAAAATATTTTATAAGTACGATATCAAGTTGTAACAACATTTTACCATTCTAATTGAATCGTTGATAAATTTCCACGAATTTAAGATTAAAACATTATCATATATTGATTTATTAGCTATGTATTTCAAATATTTTTTTTAAAATTTTCCAAACTCTTTTCCATGATATATATGAATACATGTAAGAAAAAAATTTCCTGTTTAAGAGCTGTGACCTACATTTGACTGTTATCTTACTGTTAATATTGTTAATCAGTAGAAATATGTGAACACATATATGTATATATATGTATGTATATTTATATACAAATTAATATGTTTACTTCTACTAATTTATTTCGAAATTATATATTATAATGTCTGTACATCTTGATAGACTTTACAATATCTCAATTTCTATCTAACTACATTTCAATGTTTAATTTATTATATATTACTTAATTTATTTTAAATTTTAGAGAAGATGAAGTTGGGGTGATAAGTCAAAATAAAGTCGTTAAAATGAATAATTTTATTTATTTTCACATTCGCCGACGTTTCAGCCCGAAGTTCAGACCTTCATCAGTGCTAAGAAAAGAACCAGATAACAATAGGTATAAGAAATGATGAACATTGAATAATAAAGAATTAAAAAAAAAAAAGTGAAAGGTATAGACAATTACTTATGTTTACTATTTTTATTTGGGTGACTGATCACCCCAACCATCCTTGAATTATTCACTACAGTCAATCATCAACCCACGATTAATTTTAAGGTTAGATATTAATACTTTAATCAATATTTTTTATTTTCTTATAATGCCATACAAATGTCATAGTTTTGTTCATTATAATTATTCTTAGGGGACTAAATGTCCCAGAATAAAATTTACTTTTCTTCTTCTTAATAATTTTCCATTAACAGTTGCGAAATGTTGACACGTTTCAAAAATTTCTTTTTATTTATCAGATACAAGATTATACCGAAACAACCTTAATTCTTAAATTAAAAAGTATTATTTTTAAATTTTAGTAAATCTTTAAGTGAAATTTATAATTAATTTTTTATCTATTAAAGTAGCTTATCAAATATATCATTTTCTAAATTTTTGGATTTCACAACATACGCTCACCATAAACTATTGGATAAATATTAATACAACAAACAACAAAAACCCACAAGCAAAAAGCCCAAATGATAGTAATCGCAAACCATAGACCATGGCAAGGCAGGGGGGGGGGAGGGGAGAAGCTGGAGAAAATTGGCAGCTGCTCTGAAGGCAGCCATTAAAGCAAACTGACTGGGGGGAGGGCGATGATTCCTGGAGCAATTGTGCAAAATATATACAGGCCCCCCCTCAAAATGTACGTTGAGCTCGCTAAATGTTGTGTATTTTAGCGAAAAATTACTGAGAATTATCCAAGCCAGGATGCCCGTCTACGCTCTGCTGGTCCCCCATCGGAGGTCGCCATGTAATCTTTCATCTATTTGAGGATATTTTGCAATCTTGGAAAGGTTAAAATCCTAAAGCTATTTATTTCAGCAATGGCATAAAGGTGAGTATAAATGTAGTGCAGTTAGTAGCAGGATATATAATATGTAGATGATAGAATATGATATATATGTTTGTACGTATTATACCTGTACTGAGTGTAGTTATTTTTCATATATTTTATCTAAATCATAGGTGGCAAATCTGTGGCCTCCAAACTATTTTGAACGATATTTATTAATTTTTTTCTAAAATGAATTTATATTTAATTATTTTGATTACGAAAATTTGAAAATTAATAGAATAAGTTGATTAGTTTATATGTGCGTATTTAGTGATAAATAAGAAATCTGGTGCGGCAACTTGCACTTGCTACTCTCATCTTAGCAGAAATAAATATTTTCAGACAAAAAGTAAAAATTATAAACACAATATTTCATTGTGGGTATTTTTATTTGTATAAGTATCATTATGTATAAATATTTTAATATTTATATCGCAGTAATCAATACAATTAAATATTAAATAATACTAACGATAGCATTTATGAATACCACATAAATGACAATAAATACGTATATAATACGTATAATATTGTCGGAGTCCGTAGGTGAGCTCGGGTGCGCTCGTATTCCGTTGGTTCCTCAATTACAACTATTACGATTTCTTATTTCTCCTTTAGTTAATTATCAAATTCTTTCATATTTTATATTTAACTATCTTTTATATTTAACTATCTTTTATATTATAGAACAATGTAAAATGATCAATTGATTGAACAAATTATAGGTTTTTGTTAGAGGAAGCTAATATTGAAAATTATCCATTCAAGGCCTGTTAGAGAACATAAATCAGAATAAAAACTACATTTTATTAGAAACTGCTTAATTTTACCCTGATATGGTGGATTTAATCAAAATAGTTAGAGCAGTATTCGAGAAAATCGAAAAAAATGTGTTAAGTTCATGATATAAAGTCCCAATTCCGGGAAGACGAAAATGTTGCTGTAACATTCCAGCCATATAAAAACCTTAAATATGCAATTTCACTTTCTGACGACTTTTCGTTTTTGAGCTAGACTGCTTACAAACACACAGACCATTTTGCGGGACTTGGTTATTTGGACTCAGGGGAGCTCAAAACGAATATTTCAGTTGAAAACTGAGATTCGAAAATGTTCACGGTCGCAATACTTTCCTTTACTATATATTTCATATATAGGCAAGTGAAAGTAAAAATAGAGACAATAAAAAATACAAAATTGTTTCGGCCTCCGTTAGCACTGTCCAACCGTACCTCGGCATCTGATGAAAAAAGGGTCTTCCCCCAGGGTCTAAATAAAAAAACAGAAACTAATTACTTCCTATCTTCTGTCAGAAGTTCCAACAACCAGCGAGTGTGGTGTCTAGATGTAGAAGATTGGAATAGACGTGAGGGAGAGGAGTGCCCAGCGGCGTCCTTCCTATCCTGAGTTTAATATTTGTAGTTAGTGGAGAAGATCTCTCATCTAACCAAGTGAAAAGCCAACAGGTATTTACGAGTTTTTTGTACCTAATTAAATAGACAAAGTTTACCGACCTCCAGATTGAAAACGCCCAATTCCAAGAGTTTTCATAAATAAAATAGTTGTAGGTTAGTATGTGATGAAGTTATTTACAAAATTTCAGACGGATGTAAAAAAATTTATAAAACGGGGTCAGTACCACGGACTAACAAATTAAGTAGTAGGGTTTGAAAATAAAGGAATTCCCCAAAAACAATGGGCGCTGAATCGAAGGATTATCGTTCGAAGAGAAGACTGAAATAAAGGCAGAGTAATTTCTTTAACCCACTAGCGGATCCAGGATTTAATTTTTTGGAGAGGGGCTTCATCACGAAAGCTTTATACTAGCCTACATGAACAATAATATTTTAAGAGATAATTTTTATATATTTTTTTCATAAAGCATGGTTACATTTTACGATTTTGGGGGGAGGCTTCAGCCCGAAAGCCCTCCTTCCCCGTAGATCCTCCCGTGCTTTAAACCTATGGTTCTCTGGAGGTACATCAAGATTGTCGATATACGAATCGAATTTACTGGTTCTTTTGACATTATTATAATTATGTCTGTATCACTTCTACAATATAATGTCGGATTAACAGATATGAGTCTAATTTTTCTCTTTGAGATATTTTTCACGAATAGACTTCATAAAAATAAATTTCGACAAAGTACAGAATGTAGGACATGGTTTCATTTTAAATGGCAGAGAAACAAAAGGGCCGATTACTATGGGCAGTAGGTGATGGGGAGAGGGCGAAGGTCGGAGGTGGAGTTGTGAATGGGCTATCGATACCGAGGGGGAGGAGGGTATCGATAGGGCGGCGGGTCGATATGCGGGGGAGGGGGGTGTTTACGGTGGCGCCTCGGCCCTGCGCAGGCGCGGCTATCGACCCAACGCCCCGACCCAATTCCCGCAAGGACGCAAAGGGTCGTTTACACGGCAGGTGTCCTTCGCTCTCTTCTCTGTCTTCTGTGGTCAGTTATCCTTCTACCATATCGGGGCGCCGAACGATGGGTCTGTTACCCACTTTCTTCTGCAGCACCATGTCCTTATTATAATGTTATCCAAAATATTCATTAAAATGATATTCTTCATTGATAAATATGACCTAAATAGGTTAGGATGGAAAGACACATCGCTGCAC